TGTATCTCTTTCTAAGAAAATTTTTACGAATATTGTGAATAAAGGGTTGGAGTACTAAATTATGACTTATGAATTGGAAATAATATCAAATATACATATATATATATATATATATATATATATATATATATATATATATATATATATATATATATATATATATATTATAAAATAATATGAAAAAGTAAGGAATTCGAATAAGATGAATTTCTTGAAACTCATATAATTTGAAGAAAGTAGGAGATTTTACACAAATAACGTACGTACTCTGTACTCCATATGATTTTATTTTTAGAATAATAAAATACACAAATATAAAAATTAATTTGTTAATAGAAGAGTACTAGTGTACTACGACAATAAATTAGGTTAGATAATGTTGTTAAAATTAAATAGAGTATTGTGTTAGAGATATGAGATATTGGAAAATATTTTCGATATCTCATATCTCTAACATATTGCCTTTGTAAAAAAAAATAAAAAAAAAAATACAATATTGCCTTCCAATCTTTCATCACATTAGAGATATCAAAAACTAACCCGACTAACCTACCTCAATCCAACCCAAAAAAAAAACCTGATTTAAATTTCAACTTGCATTGAAACCATGATTTAGCATAACTCAAGCAAAAAAACAGATGATTTTTTAAATATAAATCTCTTATGTCATATCACTCACATAATTTCTTATTTATGAATTTATCTTTATTTTAAAAAAAAATTGACATAATTCAACTTTAATACAAATTCCACCCGAGTCTGATCCGACCTAATCTCATCGAATCTAAATTGACACGTGAAGAGGCGGACCTTTGAAGGGGCATGCAAGTGCCTGGCCTTCTCTTGAAAAATTGCCCAAATTAGTTTCTATCATTAAAATCCAGTAATAGCCAAAAAATTTGACCAGTGAGACCCAATGAAGTTAGCCTATTATATGACTTAATAACTTTGTTTTAATTTATACAAACCCTAATGCAAATTAAACCCACCTAAAGTTACTACTATATGACTTATCCTCTCTTTTTGATATTCTATGGATTTTTATCCAAATACTCCGTATTATTTCCTTTTCAATTTTTATGTTGTGCCAAATTAAAACACATACGTAGAGCTGGTTATTGGGTAGGGTAGCCCAATGATAATAGAGTTAGGGTCAAGTTTAAAGGGCTTTTAATAGACAGGGCCTTTAACAAATAGGGCCCTTATTGGGTTAGGTCAATATAGGGCCAAAATGTTTTTCCAATTTAATAGACAAACAAAATAGATAATGTAAAAAATAATTACATAGATAAATTTGTATTCGTATATACTTAATAATGGCTTTGTTCAATATTTATTTAATTGATATTTTGTTGGCCCGCCCATTATCGACCAGCTATTGACCCGCGACCCGCATAGGCCCGACCTGCTATTGACCCTATAAAATATGACCTCTTTGACCCAATCCACAATTAACCCGCACCGACACTGACCCGACCCGCCCAATAACCAGGTCTACACATAAGACTTTAATCATAATAAATAATACCATTATCCTCCCTTTAAAGTTTTGAGTTATGGAAGTAATGTCAAAGTTTAATTACTTAATAAAATAGAATTATATCAATGATTTATCTTTTTACGGTATTTGTATAATAATTAAAATAAGAAGGCAATAATATACTTTACTATATATATTTATTTCAGAAAAATTGTATAGGTAATTAAATATTTTACGGGTTTAAATTTTATTATACTCTCTTCGTCCCATAATATAGTTCCTATTGTTCATGGTATTTAATATATAGGAGGAGAAGTGGAAAAAAGTTAGACAAAAGTACAAGGCAAATGGATAATTTAAGGGCAAAAAAAAGTGAAAAGTACAATTATAGACAAAAGTTAGAAAGAGAAAGTGGAAAAAAGTACAATGCAAGTGGATAATTTAAGGGTAAATTAAGAAGTTCAATGAATAAAGTTAAAAAAATAATGGTATAATAATCTTTACATACTATCCAAAAAGGAAACAAGAATAACATTATGAATCTCCTAAATAGAAAATAGAAACTATATTGTAAGAGGGAGGGAGTATATAATTTGACCCACTAAAAAATATTGTGAAGATCCGCCACTAGACACGTCGAGGAGGAAAAGGACATGAGTGGAGTAGTATATTAAATTATTAACCCAACATGAATATTCATAAATCAGAATCAGAGGACTAGAAACCAAAAAACGTTAAGGTCAAATGAATAAAATCATAAAATATTCTCCTTTGACTAATCTATATTTCCTTTGACTAATTGAACAAACATGGATTCATCTTCTCCATTTCAGAGCTTCAATTCAACCAAATCAAAAATCAAAATCATACAGAAAATAACTGCAATCCAGAAAAACATAAACAAAAATCATCATGTTCCAAGAAAAGCCAGTACAAGAGATTGCTCGAAGCTGTAATAATGGTGAAATCCCAGAAAAGTTTATCCAAAAAAATGGATACCCACAATCAAAAGTTGATTCTGTTTCATATATGGATGATTTTGTCATTGATTGCTCTCTCCTCTTTCCACCTTCATCTTCTGAAGCTAAAGATGAACTGGGCAAGCTTCGATTAGCTCTCACTCAATGGGGTTGTTTTCAGGTTTGGATTTAATTTTTGGGTTTTTTTTTTATTTTTTTTTTGTGTGTTACTTGATTGAATTATTTTGGGTGCTAATTTTATTGTTTCATAGTTGATATTTGGTATTATATTCGTTATTTCATTCGAAAGTATGATTGTTTAGTTGTAAAGACTTTGACTTTTTATTTGATTTGATTAAGAGGAAAAAAAGTGTGGGTTCAGAGTTGTATTTAGGTGTATGCTTCAGTTTGTGAAGAACATTGATGGTGGGTTTGATTGATTTTTATACAGTTGAAGATTTATTATGATTTCAACTTGTTTTGTTGTAGCTGAGAATTTAAATTGACAAATTCTAAGACGTAAGATTAATTAGGATTTTAATTTCAAATTAATGGTGTCACTAATTAGTACATTGGAACAAAGTATATGTAAATTGTACTAAATGTTTGCTTTTTCAATCAATAATATTGTGAATGATTTATTTGTTTATAAGAGTACATGATTCATGGCATGATTAGTCATTTCAGATTTCAGTGTATCAATTTTAATGTTTACTATCCTTAAGGTGTAATTTGAGACAATTTGTGGGAAATGTGAGTAAAGAAAGCAATTGCATTACCCCCTCTTGTTCCTTCTTTGATGGTGACTGTCTCACAAAATAAGTCAAAGTAGCTACAACTTTTAGGGATCGAGGGAGTATGTACTAGTTCGTTTAATATCCATGTAGGTGTTTTCTATGTGTTTGTATGACGATTTATAAGAAATTTAGAACAAAGTAGGCGAACTCTTTGTTGTAAGAAAATGCTTAGAGTAATGTTTGAAAGTTATGTATGTTCTCTCAGGCCATAAATCATGGCATGACTAGCGAATTCCTTGACAAAGTACGCGAAGTTACTAAGAATTTTTTTGCATTACCTCTGGAAGAGAAACAAAAGTACTCTAGGGAGATTAATGACTGGGATGGATATGGAAATGACACGGTTGTATCAGAGAAGCAGACACTTGATTGGACTGACCGACTTTATCTTACTGTATACCCTGAAGATCAGCGCAAGCTGAAGTATTGGCCTGAGAAGCCGCTTTCCTTTAGGTACATCTCTAATCTTAACATGGAGATGATTTGATGTATTTCTTAAGTTTCTGAGTTTCATGTATCTGAACTTTGGTAGGGAGGTTATACATGAATACATCTTGAAGCTTAGAGCGATATTTGAACTTCTCATGAAGCTATGGCCTGTTCCTTGAATTTGGAGGAAAATTGCTTCCTGAAAGAGCATGGAGATTTAGTAATAATGGCCTCAAGATTCAATTTCTATCCACCTTGTCCGGACCCTGAAAGTGTTCTTGGTGTCAAACCACACGCGGATGGAACAGCAGTAACATTGCTTCTGCAAGACAAGGAAGTTGAAGGCCTTCAAGTGCTAAAAGATGATCAGTGGTTCAAAGTTCCCATTGTTCCGGATACTTTATTTATCAATGTTGGTGATTTATTAGAGGTAACTACTTCCTTGAAGCTGTGATTGCCTTAAATATAATCCTATTAGGCTGAAATTTTAGACTCGTATTGAATAATTCATTTACAAAATCGCACTGGTATACGGTGCTTAATACTTGAATTTTAAGGGGGATCATTATCTTTTATATAGAATTTATTAACTTCTCGAAAATTGATGATCTGCCTATACTTGTGCAAAAAAGTAGATATAAGATTGCTCATTTACACCAAATATTTTCAAGGTTGAATTCAACCCTATAAAGAGGCTTGATAATATTCTGATCAATCAATCTATTTGGAACAGATAATGAGTAATGGAATACTGAAAAGTCCCATGCATAGGGTGGTCACAAACTCGGAAAGAGAGAGAATCTCGGTGGCAGTGTTCAGTTTCTCAGACCCTGATAGGGAGGTTGGACCGTTAGCAGGACTAGTCACAGATGACAGACCTCAGATGTACAAAAGAGTGAAGCATTACGAAAACATATTCTTCGAGAACTATCAGTTGGGGAAGAGACCACTGCATGCCGTTAGAATCTAATACCGTGTAGCTAAATGTGTGTATCTCGGTTGATCTCTTGAGATTTTATCACGTAGTCCGTTTGCTTTTGCTGAGAACCTTGCTTTGTGATTTCTATGCTTGAAAATTTTGCTTTTTTTTTTTCTTCTTAATTGAGCCTTTGAGGAAACAGTTTAGTATTTGCTTGTCGATTTTTATTGTGACTGCAAACACTCTCACAAGGGTTGAAGGAGGGCCTCCAACCATTAAACAGCCTTAATTCTAATTATACTGTGTATGGAAAAATCACTTCTTCCAAGGGTGGAAGGGGATGGTGCTATCTAAGGCGGGTAGGGAGGTCATGATAAAGGCGGTGGTCCAATCTCTCCCTACCTACGCGATGAGTGTTTTTAAGTTTCCATCTTCTTTTTGTGATGAAGCTGCGATCTCTTGTTGCTCAATTTTGGTGGGGCCAGAAGCAAGGTGAACGGAAAATTCACTGGTTAGCTTGGAAGAAGCTCTGTAGGAAGAAGAGTGAAGGGGGTTTGGGTTTCCGCGACTTTAAATTATTTAATTGGGCTCTCTTGGGAAAACAAGCATGGAGATTATTGATGAAGCCGGGTAGTCTTGTGGAGCAAGTGCTTAAGTCTCGTTACTATCCTAATTGCTCTTTTATGATGCTGATTTGGGGGTTAACCCAAGTTACACATGGAGGGGAATTGCGGAGTCCAGATGGGTGGTTCGCCGAGGTATTAGATGGAGAGTGGGTAATGGTGAGTTGACTAGAGTATGGTCTGACCCTTGGGTGCCGCAAACCCAAACTCACATGATCATTTCGCCCCTGGGAAATGCTGATCATAATTTGAGAGTGAGTGTCTGTTGGTTTAGAATTCGGCTTGCTGGGATTATGAGAAGCTAAATCAATATTTTTTGCCGTTTGAATGTGATAGAATCAGCAGCATCCCTCTGAGTTCTCAGCTTCCTAATGATCGTATATGCTGGGATTTGGAGAAAAATGGTGAGTATTCTGTCAGGTCAGCCTATCGTGCTATGTTTGAGGATGATTGGAAGAATGGGGAGGAAGCTCCTTCTAATGCTCATTCTATTTGGAAGCGTATTTGGCATTTACAGGTCCTCCCACGTATTAAAATTTTTGCGTGGAGGGCCTGTCAGAATGCGCTTCCTACTCGCTACAATATTCACCATCGGATCCGTGACTATGACCCTGATTGTTGCATCTGTCAACGAGAACTTTGAGTCTACTCTTCATGCCCTTAGAGATTGCAAGTTTGCGCGGGAAATCTGGAGTAAAAGTCAATTTTCTCATGTTGCTTGTTCTAGAATGAGTACTATCATTGACTGGTGGGAGAGTGTTTTTACAGAGTTTGATAATGATGAGGTTACTAGCATTATTACCCTTTGCTGGGCTATTTGGGGAGCTCGTAACTCCAGGATAATGGAAGGAAAAATCATTGAGCCTGAGGACACAGTTAAGTATGCTTTGAAGATCTGCCAGGAAGTTAGTGAGGAAAGCTGCAAGCTGGATGTAAGGCCTGGTAGGACTGCTGCTGTGAGCCACCCTGAGACGTGGTCTATTCCTGATCAGGGGTGGCATAAGGTCGATGGTGATGCTGGAATCATTGGGGAGTTAGGCTCTGGGCTTGGTGCAGTGATCAGAGATAGCAGTGGGGTGGTGTGTGCGTGCTCTTCCTTCCAAGCTCCTGATAAATGGACGACTGAGGTGGCTGAAGCGAAAGCTGTGCTCTTTGGGCTGCAACTTGCTGGTGAGCTGGGTGTGCAGCAGATTGTCTTGGAGAGTGATTGCCTTCTTGTGATCCAAGCACTAAGAAACAAGTCGACTGGTTCTAGTTCCATTCACTTAGTTCTTGATGATATTTATGCAAAGAGTAGTAATTTTGTTAATGTTAGATGGTCTTTTGTGAAGCGGGGTGGAAATAAAATTGCACACGCCTTGGCTCACTCTCAGCCTTGGGAGGTTGGTCATAGGGTGTGGAACGATGTAATTCCGACTCGCATTTTGGAGCTTGCTTTGGCCGATCTTAATGAGTAATTTTGCCCTTTGGGGTGGTTTCAAAAAAAAAAAAAAAAAAAAGGAAAAAAAAAAAGAAGAAGAAGAAGAAAAATCACTTCTTGAATATTCTTCGTATTACATGATTATATTCTTAACAAATGATAAATGGAGCAGAGTAGGAGCCAATATTTTGAATTAGTCATTTTCAACATATCAATCAATCAAGCCTTAATCCCATAAGTGAGGTTGGTTACATGAACTGAAAGTGATTTTTCAACCTAAAGTACATCTTAACGAGCATCATCTCTACTTTTTTAAAAGTATGAGAAAACACTTATGAATAGTGTGAGGACAATTATATCCTCAAAATGTTAGTTTACCTATATGTCTCTCTTGATATGATGTTAATTGCATCTAAAGTTTTCCCTTGTGTGATTTAATTATTTAACTCTTATGGAGTATACCCTCTAACATGTATATTTACTTATTTGCTGTTAATTGCCTTTTTTTTTCTAAACTATAGAACAATATTTTCCCTCATTAATATTTTCAACAATTGGAAGCTCTCTAAACATGGCTAGCTATGGCGCACGCATAACACTACTTGTGGTCAGTGCAATAAAATAATCTGCTACAATTGGAGTACTTTATTCATTTTGACTAGCAAAGGTCGGTTGATCTTATCTTCTATGAAAGCTTCTGCTAAAGATAATTCAAGCACAAGATTGCAGATCACAGCATAAACATAACTATGGAGGAAATGTTGCAATCGAAGCCGGTTCAAGAAATAGCTCTAAGCTGTAATGGTGAAATCCCAGAACAGTTTATTCATAAAGATGGATTCCCACCATCGAAAGTTGACTCTGTTTCATACATGGATGATTTTGTCATTGATTTTTCTCTCGTGTTTTTGCCTTCATCTCCTGAATCTGATCATGAATTAGGAAAGCTTCGATCAGCTCTCAGTCAATGGGGTTGTTTCCAGGTATGAATTTTCTTAATGAGTTTTGTCAATACTCTGTAGTATTCAAGGGAAAAGAGTAAACTTTTAGGCATGTTAGATTTATTTTGGTGCTTTATTATTGAAGCTGATGTAGATGTAGAGTGTAAACCATAATCAAGTCCATTTGGACATGTGAAGGGTATAAGTTTATATTTCTCACAGATTACTTTGGTTTCTTTTCTATTTTGAAAAAAAAAAAAAATTAATTGGAATGGTTTCAAAAAGAAAAAAAAATGCTATGTTAAGAACTGATAATTGTTTTCTCAGGCCATAAATCATGGCATGACCAATGATTTCCTTGACAAAATCCGTGAAGTTGGCAAGCAATTTTTTGCACTTCCTCTTGAGGAGAAACAAAAGTACTCTAGAGGTATCGATGATTGGGATGGATATGGAAATGATGCAGTTGTATCGAAGCAGCAGACTCTCGATTGGATGGATCGACTTTACCTTACAGTTAACCCTGAAGATCAACGAAAGCTAAAATATTGGCCTGAGAAGCCAGTTGCATTTAGGTACATCTTTAATATCTATAGTATTTTTCCTCTAGGTAAGGTGAATGATCCAAGTAGACTTGACCTCTCGTGGGTTGACTTTGTCTAGCTTTTGAGTTTCATTCATGTTGAAAGTCTAACTGGCTAATACAAGAGGGGGGGTGAATTGTATTTGAGGTGAAATCTAAAAACTTTTTGCGGAATTTAACTAAATGAAATAATGACGAGAGAAGATATAGGCTTTTCTAAATTTCCACTATGTAATCAAACTCTGTACAAGTGAAGATTCAAACCCGTTAACAAGTTCCCCAAATTAGGAACTTGTTCCCAACTCTCACAGAAGACTTCAGCAACGAAGCTTCCTTAACCTCACCTTACAAACTCACAATCCCAACCCCAAAGTACTTGTATACAATCTGTGATTACAAATACCTATTGCACTCAAGAATATATGAAGGAAAATAACTCTCTTTATGTTATTAGATGGCTACTGGAATTTTTATGCTTAAGAGTTCTGTTTTGCTGAGATAGTTTGCATGAGTATTTATAGAGAAGGCTTAGTCATTAACCTCCACCATAATCACGTCCACATGTCAACAACCCACTAACAACTTGTGGAGTTATCTTGACAGATTGTGATCATGAAGAGGTTTCCTAGCCTTATCTAATTAAACCACTATCCTAACAACTTGATAACCATTAGCCGTATAAAAGATTTTCTCACAGAAAAACCACTTGCTAACTTTATCAAATATTTATTTAAAAGATTATCAAAAGTTTGTTTAAAAAGATTTTATTTGAAAAGATAAATTTATTATTTATTAAAACAACTAGATAATTATCTTCGATAATTATCTTTATTAAAACTTTTACAAATTATCTTTTCTTTAAGAAATTATCTTTTAAAACTAACTTTTATTCCAGTAGTCTTTAACATAAGTCATTGAGTTCCTTTCCGACTTTATATTATTGAGTGCTCACAATTAAAACTAGAACGTGAGATTTGCACGAGGCTTTTTAAAGAATGCTACTCCGCATCCAAGTTCCTACTCCGGAACGAACTTTGCTTGAATCCTTTATTCACCAAAGACTCAAAACATTCATTAGTCGAGTTTGTCAATTTGTCCATCAAAACCAAAAGGCTCAACAAATTCCCCCTTTTTGATGATGACAAACATTGACAAACTTAGGTAAATAAAATCATCCAGGCATGCAACAAAAATTTAGAGTAAGGCATGAAAACAAAAAAAACAATTAAAGAACTTAGAAAAATATTAAAAAGTATTTTTTTTTTTTTTTTTTTTTTTTTAAAAAAAAAAAAAAAAAAAAAAAAAACTGAGCAAAAGAAAAAATTAACAAAGACTTTAAAAACTGAACTTGGCAAAAGTTTGTACCTTCGATGTGTGAGTTCCTTGGTAAACACTTTAGCCGCCATGAAGTTTGTCTTTTCCCCCTTTTGGCATTATCAAAAGATTGAAAAAAAACATTTTGCTATACTCCCACTAGACTACGTAGGGAATAGTGAGCTCAAATAATGCAAGGCAAAAATAAGTTAGGTACCAAATTATCAGCAAACACACACAATCATATGAAAAATACGAGCCAAGTTCCGATTTAGGAAATAGAAGAGGAACATAGAGAATGTAGCAAAGGATAAAGGCGTACAAACCAAAGTTCAGAGAGATTAAACAAAACCAAAATAAAATTGTTCAACATATGAAATTAGAATAAGTGCAATCAAGGATTTAAGAGGCTGCATTGGTAGGATCAAGGGTTGGATTTGTGGGATCAATAGAGTCTTCCTCGACTTCCTCAAAGGCTACTTTGTTGATAGTTTCCAAGATCTCCTTGTTGCCTTCACTAAACTTGCCTTCAGCCTGTGCAAGCTTTGCCTCCACGCCTGCAAATCCGGTTGCTTGAGATTCTGCCAGAGCCTGCACCTGGCCTTTAAGAGAAAGCAATTCCGAGGCCATTTCCTCCAGTTTCTTGCTCACCAGAGTAGTCAACTTCTCCATATCTGCTTTAACCTGTTGAAAATCATAAACAAACACACGAGTTCCAGAGAAAGCAGCAAAGCCAGTAGGCTGAAATGGAGGAGGAGAAGGTGAATGAGGAGGCTGCCTAGTAGATGAGACAGGAATAGAAGAGGGTTCAATGGCAAAGGGAACTTGGGTAGGTTTGAAGGTGGGATCAGATTTGTCTGAGGAGCTGATGGTTTCTACAGTCACAGGGTGTGTAGTAGAAAGGGCAGGCTTGACCACATTCCTCTTACTTCTTCTAAGGCCCCCTGTAAACACAGGAATGACAGGTGGTCCAGCTGTGCTCTCAGAGTCTGTGGTATGTTCCCCCTCACTTTGATCAGTTCCCTGCCCCTCATGTGAGTCAGATTTTCGAGCTTCCCCCTCAGAAACTTCCTTATGTTCCCCCTCAGAATCTTCCTGTTTTTCTCCTTGCACATCTCCCTCAAGTATTTTTTCTTTGTTTTTCTCTCCGTTAGAACTTTTTTCTTCTTCCTTATCTCCCTCAGAATCATTGGAGGTGGTAGCACCCTCACTAGCAACCTCACTACCCTGGTCACTGCCCTCCTCATCACTTGCATCACATTCTTCCTCAGCTTCTTTCCCTTTCCCTTTCTTTTTCTCCCCTCCTTTCCGAGGCACAAAACATACTTTGCCATTTGTAAGCCTAAGACTCAGTCTAAGTAATGATTGTTCAGAGAGGATATTATCGGGTTTGAGATATGTTGGGGATTCACATTCAACATCAATACCAAAAGATTTGACCAACACAGTAAGGAAAGAGCCATATGGAATTGTGGTCTTTTGAGCATAAGAATTCAAGTGTTCAATCATTAGAGCAGGGAAATTAATCTGTATTTTGCATGCAAGACAGAATATGAGGGAGGCATCCAAGAGTGATACGGTACTCCGTTTTTGTAAACGGGGTACTATACCCTTCCAGGTGAAGGTAAACAGTAGCTTATGAAGGGGTGTTAGGGCATGATGGTGAGTAGTTTTCACTTTCGGATTTCCTCCAATAAATTGAAGGATTTTGCATTCATCATTATGGCCAATATTTACAGATTGTTTGTGCTTTAAATAAGAACAATAGCCTTTAACAGGAACTTGAAATAGATTTCCAAGATAATTGGCATCAATCGAAATTGGAATATCATTAAATACGGCCGAGCACACACCATTATCACATTGAAAGGTATTTTTGAACTCATAAATAAGTTTAGGATAAACAGGGTAATGAGAATAATTCTGGAACAAGTGAGTCCATTTTTGATAATCAATTAAAGAAGTAAATTCAGTGAACTTACTCGCCACACACCAATCATAGTTGATGTGATATCCGAGAGTGTAATTCCATGATGGGAATTTGGTGGTTGCGCGCCGTTTCCTGTCGCCGCCCTTCACAACCTTAGCCTTCCTCTTTGGCTGAGCAGATGGATGCACCATCGCAATTGGCACCGGTTGTGGAGACCCCGTGTTTGAGGAGGGTTTGGATGGTGGTGATCGGGTTTTTGGGGTGGTGTTTCGGTTGGTTTTCATGGTGTTGAAGGTAAAATGAAGGGAAGGAGAAGATGAATAGTGTGAATAGGAAGGAGAGAGAGTGAGGCTGGTTATGGGAGTTTATGGGGAGTTTAATTGATTTGATAGGTGAAGGTGGAGTGAAAAGAAGAAGAAGAGTTTAATTGGGAGGAGTGAGAAAGAAAAGTGACGGTTTAAAAGGTGAGGTAGTGGAGTAGTTTTAGAGGTAGTAGGATTTAATTTGGTGAAATAATTGCACTCATCTAATTCAATGTTGATAAAATAAAATCGTAAGTTAAGGAGTTGATATACATGCTTCTTATCTTACGTAACAAATAAAAGCAGAACTGAACAAAGGAAAATAAGGAGGAAAAAAAAAAGATAAAAATATGAATAAAAGATAAGAATAAAAGATAAAAAAAATAAGGAAGGCAAAAAAGATAATAATAGGAAGGAAAACAAATTAACAATATAAAAAAATGGTAAGTGCAAATGGATTGTAAATTATGATGATAATTTACGTGATCATAATACAGAGAATAAAGAATGATGAAAAGGGAACTTGAAACAACATGGCTCAATATTTTTAACATATTAAAAGTATGTATAAGTGACTTTTCAATACTTCACAAATCTTTTCCCTGGGTAATTTCAGCTGTGTTATGCACACAAGATTGAGCATAGCATTGTTAGTTACATCCGATTTTACCTTAGGGGTTCCAAACAAAAATCACTTTAGCCGTAGCATCCCCAATTCCACACGCATCTTTTCAAACTTGTCTCTGCTTAAAGGCTTAGTTAATATATCAGCAATTTGTCATTCAGTAGAAATAAAATCTAGCCTAATTAAGCCCTTTTTCAGGAAAGTCATAAACATATCAAAAGTTTCATCTTTACTATGTAAGAATATGACCCATGTAAATCTAGAATAATCATCTACAAGAACTAAGACATATATTTTTCCACTTCTACTTTGAATTCTAACGGGGCCACACAAATCCATATGAATGAGTTCCAATGGTTTTGTGGTGCTTACCATTTTCTTTGATTTAAATGATGATCGAACATGCTTTCCTTTGATGCAAGCTTCACAAATTTTGTCATTTAGGAATTTGATAGAAGGTAATCCGATTACCAAGTCCTTTGACCTTAATTTGTCAAGCAATGAAAGACTAACATGTCCAAAACGTCTATGCCATAGAAGTGGATCATCCTCAATAACACTTAAACAGGATAGATTGTATTTTGGAACTTTGTTAAGATCCACGGTATACGTGTTCCCTTTACGAGTTCCTTCCAAAACGATTTTTCCAGTGTTATTGTTGATGATTTTGCAATTTTCAGAAGAAAAGCTTACAGAGTTTCCTTTATCACAAAGCTGAGATATACTGAGTAGATTATGCTTCAAACCCTCGACTAAAAATACATTGTCAATTGCATGGGAACTTGACCTTCCTACTTTGCCAACAGCAACAATGTTGCCTTTCTTATTGTCTCCAAAGGTCACTGTTCCCCCTGTATAGGCCGTCAGTGAGAGAAATCTGGATTCATCTCCTGTCATGTGCTTAGAACA